ATACGGTCTGTACACTGTGGGGAACCGAGTCCCAGATTTTAGCTACACAATGGGATGTATACGGTCTGTACACTGTGGGGAACCGAGTCCCAGATTTTAGCTACACAATGGGATGTATACGGTCTATACACTGTGGGGAACCGAGTCCCAGATCTTAGCTACACAATGGGATGTATACGGTCTGTACACTGTGGGGAACCGAGTCCCAGATTTTAGCTACACAATGGGATGTATACGGTCTGTACACTGTGGGGAATCGAGTCCAAGATTTTAGCATTGTAATTCCGTGAACTTACCCCTGACCCACGGGTTGGGAGATAAAAAAGTGGTAATGAAATAACTTAAAATATGAACACTTACCTTCAACCAGCGGTTGTGTGTGTCGTTGTGCCAGTATTGAAGCATTGTTTGGTTTGAGCTACCTGGTACGTTCTTTTAAAAAGTGTGATAATTTATTAAAGTTTATTTAATATTTCTTAAGGTTTAATGTTTCTTAAACATTAAAATACACTTTGTGATTTTTACCCCGAGCTTACGCTACAAGCGACTGAAATATACGCTAAAACAAAAGTAACAAACACATGTAGTGAAATCCTTTGAAAAACTGGCGAACGTATCGTAAATTAATGTAGTGGTTGCATTACCAGAAGTACTAAATGTGTTCTATCTATGTCGTCTATAGTTATTCGTTGCAGTAAATGATCTTAAGTTAAAATCAGCTACTAAAGGTATTCTATCTATGTTGTCTATAGTTATTCGTTGCAGTAAATGATCTTAAGTTAAAATCAGCTACTAAAGGTATTCTATCTATGTCGTCTATAGTTATTCGTTGCAGTAAATGGTCCTAAGTAAAAATCAGCTACTAAAGGTATTCTATCTATGTCGTCTATAGTTATTCGTTAAAGTAAATGGTCTTAAGTAAAAATCAGCTGCTAAAGGTATTCTAGCTATGTCGTCTACAATTATTCGTTAAAGTAAACGGTCTTAAGTAAAAATCAGCTACTAAAGGTATTCTAAAACTGAAAAATGGTAAAGAAAGGTGACTTATAAT